AGAAAATGACATTAACGCTCATAACTGACTAAAAGAAGCAGCTATAGCGGTGAAATTCGTCATAAACATATTTTTTAGGAATCTTAGTATCATTGTAAAATTTTATAAGGATCGGTCCATAATTGACCCTATCCCCCATATAAGGTCCCCCTCAGAAAATGACAATAACGCTCATAACTGACTAAAAAAAGCAGCTATAGCAATGAAATTCGACATAAACATATTTTATAGGAATCTTAATATCATTGTAAAATTTTATAAGGATCGGTCCATAATTGACCCTATCCCCCATATAAGGTCCCTCTTAGAAAATGACATTAACGCTCATAACTGACTAAAAAAAGCAGCCATAGCGATGAAATTCGACATATACATATTTTTTAGGAACCTTAATATCATTGTAAAATTTTATAAGGATCGGTCTATAATTGACCCTATCCCCCATATTAGGTCCTCCTCAGAAAATGACATTAACGCTCATAACTGATTAAAAAAAGCAGCTATAGCGATAAAATTCGACACAAACATATTTTATAGGAATCTTAATATCATTGTAAAATTTTATAAGGATCGGTCCATAATTGACCCTATCCCCCATATAAGGTCCCCCTCAGAAAATGACATTAACGCTCATAACTGACTAAAAGAAGCAGCTATAGCGATGAAATTCGTCATAAACATATCTTTTAGGAATCTTAGTATCATTGTAAAATTTTATAAGGATCGGTCCATAATTGACCCTATCCCCCATATAAGGTCCCTCTCAGAAAATGACATTAACGGTCATAACTGACTAAAAAAAGCAGCTATAGCAATGAAATTCGACATAAACATATTTTATAGGAATCTTAATATCATTGTAAAATTTTATAAGGATCGGTCCATAATTGACCCTATACCCCATATAAGGTCCCCCTCAGAAAATGACATTAACGCTCATAACTGACTAAAAAAAGCAGCCATAGCGATGAAATTCGACATATACATATTTTTTAGGAACCTTAATATCATTGTAAAATTTTATAAGCATCGGTCCATAATTGACCCTATTCCCCATATAAGGTACCCCTCAGAAAACGACATTAACGCTCATAACTGACTAAAAAAAGCAGCTATAGCGATGAAATTCGACTTAAACATATTTTTTTGGAATCTTAGTATCATTGTAAAATTTTATAAGGATCGGTCCATAATTGACCCTATCCCCCATATAAGGTCCCCCTCAGAAAATGACAATAACGCTCATAACTGACTAAAAAAAGCAGCTATAGCAATGAAATTCGACATAAACATATTTTATAGGAATCTTAATATCATTGTAAAATTTTATAAGGATCGGTCCATAATTGACCCTATCCCCCATATAAGGTCCCTCTCAGAAAATGACATTAACGCTCATAACTGACTAAAAAAAGCAGCCATAGCGATGAAATTCGACATATACATATTTTATAGGAATCTTAATATCATTGTAAAATTTTATAAGGATCGGTCCATAATTGACCCTATCCCCCATATAAGGTCCCCCTCAGAAAATGACATTAACGCTCATAACTGACTAAAAGAAGCAGCTATAGCGATGAAATTTGACATAAACTTATTCTATAGAAACCTAAATCGCTTTGTAAAATTTTATAACGATCGGTCCATAATTTATCCTAAATAATAACAAAAGCATCGATTCTTAAATATCAAAGTTTATTTATAAGGAAGCATTCCTTTTTGGCAATGATTTGATGGTGGGTATACAAGATTCGGCACAGCCGAATATAAAACTCTTACTTGTTCTTATATTCACCAAGTTTATTACGATACTCATCCCAGTATACTGCGGTCTTTTTACGCCGTGCCCGGTTAAATAGTTTGCGAAGAGTCTTCCCAAGGTTCCGGATCTCCCCAGTTACCCAGGGTTTTTCCTGGGCAGATCTCCGCTCTCGCAGAGGGCAGCTGTCCTCGAACGATTCAACCAGGGCACTTGTGAACGTTTTCACTTTGGCATCTATATCCTAACGGTTCTTTAGTAAGGTCCCGAACATTGTCCAATTAGTTTTAGACTTATTCCGAAACTTTATCGGCTTTGGTGGTGGCCTTAGTATTTTGAATCTTATGTACCGATGATCAGAAAAGGAGTGCTCGTCCGAAACTCTCCAATCCTGAATTTCGTTTATAAGCTCTTCTGAACATATAGTTATATCTAATACTTCTTCTCTGATTCTATTGACGAAGGTAGCTTTATTACCTAAGTTCAATGTTATCAAGTCTTTAGTATTAAGGAAATCCATGAGGGCTTGTCCCCTGCGATTGGTGTTTGTACTACCCCAAGCTACATGGTGCGAGTTGGCATCACAGCCTATTACAATTTTCTTATTTTTTCTTTGTGCCTCTTCAACCAGTTTCATCAGATCCGACGTTGGTGGTAGTGTCGGAGAATCGAAAGGCAGGTAAATAGATGCAAGGAATATGTTGCCACGACCTTGCTTCAGCACCGTTGCATCCGATGTTGATAATCCTGTTGAGAGGAGAAAACATAAGTTCTTGTGACATAAGATACATGTTCTCGGGCGAGATCCTGTATCAGCGTAGAAAAGTTGGAAATTTACGTGATTTAATCCAGAAACCTTGTTGCGAATCGTCCAAGGTTCCTGGATTAACGCTATATGTATTTTACCTGTGTTGATTTTAGCCATCAGAGCGTTGGTAGCTGTCTCGCTCCGATGGAGGTTTATTTGGATAACCTCAATCATGGTCATCCATTAAACTGTCTTCCAGCGAGTTGGTGGTCACCTCCTCGCTCTTTGGATTTGACTCCTCCGGATAGCCTGAAGTGGCTATTAATGCAGTGGGTACTGTTGATGGCTCTGCGGTGTCCTTATCAGGCATAGGAATAGCAGTATTTTTAATAGACACATTCCCAATTCTGGAGAGCACTGCTGTTCTGTCTTCTGGCGGGTGAGTGATTTCCTCCTCGCTTTTAGGATTTGACTCCTCAACATTGCCAGTACTTGCTAATGATGCTTTCGGTACTGTCTTAGGTGTTTTAGTGTCCTTGTCGGGGCCGGTTGTGACAGCCCTTTCAATCGGCGCCTTCCCAATTTTGGAAAGGGCAACTACACTTTCTTCTGGCGAGTTAATGGTAAATTCCTCGATTTTAGGTTTTGACTCCTCAACGTTATCAGTAGTGGATACTGATGCTGTGGTCTTAGGTTTTTTAGTGTCCTTTTCGAGGCTTGTTGTAACAGCCCTTCCAATCGGCACCTTCCCAATTTTGAATATGACAGCTTTAGAGGCGAAGTAAGCCCTACCTTTATTCTTGGCAAGACTAGCCATAGATTTCTGGTCGATACCTATTACAAATAAAGTTCCCTCAGGTTCTTCTTTCCTGTAAAAGATATCCCATTTTTCCACGGCCAGCTCAGCATTTTGACCTCCAAGAATTTCCAGTATACGTTCATTAGCCAGTTTACTGCCCCATCCTTTTATGTAGACAGTGGACTTTAAGAGCACCGGAAGATCGCTCTTCTTTGCCAGTCCCAGCCTAGCGCCGTGCCAGGGAGGAGGGATACTTTCCACCAAGTTCTTTAGGGTGCTAACACATTGGTGAGATGCCAACCTCATCAACATCACGCCCATGCTGAACTCGCAGCTCTCGCTGTCTATTGGTTGTTTGCCCTTTGAAGCGATTGCATGGTCCACTATCTTATTGTTGACCAGGTCTTCTATTTTACTCTGTTGGTCTATTGGAATTTTGCCTGTCGGATTACCGGCATCGTAAACTGCATTGCAGAGATCGTCCCGGTGCCTACTTCTGGCAACTTTGGCGTAAGATGGCGGCTCTTTTCCTTTTCCTCCGTCTAGCTTCTCCTTCCTCGTTTTTCGGGGCTTCTTTTGAGATTCCCTTACCTTCGAGGTTGATTTCGGCGACGTGTTCGTCTTCTGAATATCTGGCTTGGCGTTGTCACCCTTACTCGCAGGATTCTCACCTGAGATTCCTTTGAGTGAAGTAAGGCTTGGCTTCGACTGTGTATTAGAAGACGGGGAGCTCTTTTTCTTCTTAGGTTTATTCACAGTTGTCAACTCCTCGGGAGACCTGATCCTTTTTGCCTCAGATCTTGTGAGAGAGTCCGATTTTTCCTTTGGAGTGTCGTGGGATTGACTAACTATGATTTCCTGAAGCATTTTTTTCAACTTCCTCCTCTGTGCTCCAGAAAGTCTTTTCTTAGTAATAGGTAGTTTAGCTATGCTATCACTCACCTCTTTCACCATTTGCTCTACTTCATCCTTTTTGGGATTTGCTATAATGGTATTATTATTATCATCTGAGGATTCAGAGTCGGAACACTCACCTATATTTAAAGGCTGAGGTAGCTTAGAGCTCTCTCCGAGTACATCCTTCTCTTTCACCCCTATAGTTTTGCCAGTAGCATGCTGTACACTTGACGCATTGTCCGCCACGGAGGCCAAGGTACCCACCTCCGTAGTAGTATTTTGCTCACGATTGCAGGATGACGACGACACGTGACTCGCGATTAGATCAACACTTGCCGCCGGTACTGGGTTATTTAGGCCCTGCACCGTAACTTTTATCTTTTTATTTTTATTTTCCATATTTGTTTTTTCCAGTTTTTTGGTCCGCGGGGAATATAATATTCCCAGGTGTTTTTAATGTTTTTATTTTTAACCTCAAACCCCTTTTTTCGAATTACACAGAGCAGATTTCAAACAGACCTCTCAGTACATAAGTTACCACTTTCAAAATTGTCGGGGTTCATATTTATTGCAGTTTTTATGAAATATTAATTAAATAAGCAAAAACTTTGTCATACTATTTATGAACTTTTCATATTCTGAATGAAAATGGTTTGGGAAAAAAGTTTTGTTCGATTCATAGTATTTATTACAAAATTAATTTCAGTTATATATTATTTTTGTGTATAAGTTAAATGTGGAAAATATAAATAAATATTTTCTAAATAATTAATATCTATATCCTTTATTTTCAGACTAATTAAAGATTTTTATTTGCTTGGTCGTGGAGAACTATTTTTAGAGTTCATTCGCCAAACTTATGTAATAAATAAAGATGCCGACAATGAAAATAAACTTCGTGATTTTGTCAAAGCATTTGAGGTCAGAAACAAAAAAATAACTAATTTTTGGGCTTATTAATGTTAGTTAGATTTATGTGTTGTTTCTAGATAACGGATCAGGTTTCCTTTTAAATGCACTTTTGGGTTTCCAAGGTTATGCAGAAATAAATATTGAAAATAAGATTAGATTCTCAGCAATATAATAAAACTATTTGTTTGAATCTTACAGGAAGAAAAAAAAACAAAAAGTGTGCTTTTAAAATTTGGAAAAATCTTGTTAATTGTTAACAAATAAAAAATTGCAAACAAATATACATATATTAAACACCAATTTAAAAGGAAATCTGACCTGATGTGAAAAAACTGAAAACGAAGTTTTCATCTGTACATTCTCTACTTTCTCGTACATACATACATATATGGGCAATTTTATGTCAAATGATCCAACTTAAAAAATCGCACCAAGGTTAGTACTGTTTGATAGTAGGCCAGAAGCAAATTTTCAACTCTATCGGTCAAGAACTTCCGGACTTAGATGGGGTCCTAACAAAATTTCCAAAGGAGTTCAGATAGCTATTTTGTCGTTGTTTCCAAAAAAATTTTTTTTTTTAAATTTTTAACAAAATGTTTTTTTTTGCTTATACAATTTCCTTTAAGGTTCCATAACGGAAGGAGAGTGACATTCGGCTGTGCCGAATCTTATATACCCTTCACCACAGTGTATTTATAAAATATCAATTTTATAAAATTTAAATTTATTTCATTTTCCCGACTATCATTATTATAGCAATAGCAAAACGAACAACAACAACGCTAAACGAAATAAACACACAAAAAACAAAATACACAGGCAGTAAAACCAACAGACATCCAAACATACGAAATGAATACGAAAAAAAAACAAAAACAAAATACACAAGGCAATGGAACACACAGACATCCACAGACAGTAAGAGTGCTCTATTCGTCTGTGCCGAATCTTATATACCCTTCACCATATACCATATCAATTTTATAAAATTTAAATTTATTTAATTTTCCCGACTACACAAGGCAATGAAACACACAGACATCCAAACATATGAAACGAAATACTAAAAAAAAGAAACAAAAACAAAATACACAACGCAATGAATAAGCAGTGTTGCTGTTGTTGCTTTTTTATCAAAGCATGAAAAAAATTTTCTTTTTTATGAAATTTTCGGAGGTTGTCTCCGATTTTTGCTCATATTTCCGTTATTTATGGACCGATTTTGCTGATTTTAAATAGCGATCTTCCCGAAAGCATGCCTAACAGAATTATTGAAGATTCGGATCTCGCCGATATCTGGGGTCCTCTAAAAACTGATTTCAACAAACATCAGCTATCTATAAGGATTCAGAATATATATACTTTATAGGGTCGGAAAATTATATTTTGGAAATTGCAAACGGAATGACAAACTTATATATACCCTTCTCACAAAGTTGATTATAAATTATTTTTTAACTCAAGATTTTTTCAATATTTGGCACTTAATTTTTCCCTATTTTCTCAAAATGGACGTTTTTGTTGTATTTTTTGTTTGCTCAAAAGAAAGCTTATACCATTTCCATTAAGAGCTTTCTGGTTAATTAATGTTAGTTCAAAATATTGAAAAACTCTTTTTCTAAGGTTAAAAAATATTGTTTGCTCTTAAAGTATTGTGTAAGCTTTCTTTTGAGCAAAAAAATTCCCATTTGAAAAAAAAATATATTTTTTTTATTTGAAATTTGTTTGGAAACATCGAAGAAATAGCTATCTTTACTCCTTTGGACAATTTTTGCTAGGGCCAATATTAGGGTGAACGTTTATTCGACATTTTCCAAAAACCGGTTTTCGAATAGTTCGAATAGTTGACATTTGAAAAAACCGGTTTATATTTTTCAGAAAAACCCAGTTATGCGGTTTTTCATTATAAATAAAAAAATCTATTTTAATTTGAGAAAATTTATGTTTATGTTTAAATTTGATTTTTAACAGTATAAAAGTTTTTAACTTTAGATCTAGTCGTCTGATTTACATGATTTCTTTAATATGAAAAAATTAGGAAAAAAGTGGGACACTTCTGTTAAACATAAGGTACTATGTAATCCTAGGTTATTCTAAGTCCCTGTTTAGGCAATTTTCATAGGCATTCCAACACTTCCATAATATTTCAGCCGCAAATTAATTTTTGTAATTAGAATACAATCTTAAGATTGATAAAATTTAGACGGGCTGTATTATTATTAGCTTTAAAATTTAATTTAAGTAATCTTTGAATACAAAGCAAATAAAAGTATTCGAACCCGGTTTTTAAAAAGTGAAAAAACATGATTATTTGCCATTCAAAAAATCAATATTTAGAAAAAACCGACACTGGTAAAGCAAAAAAAAAAACGGGTTTAAAACCGGTTGAAAACCCGAGTTGATCACCCTAACCAATAGGTGAAATGTTACACTCATTTGAATAAAAACCCTGTAAGACCAAAATGTCCAACTTTGACCCCCTCTAAGTCCGACCGATAGAGCTGAAATTTTCTGGCAAGTTTCTGGCCTATTATCTAATAGTACTAACCTTGGTGCAAATTTCATCAAAATCGGAAGACATCGATTTTAAAAGTTGGGTCACTTGATACAAAATTGTCCATATGTAAATCGATTTTTTATGTGTACATATAAATGGCTGTTTCACGGTGTTATACGTATATGACTATTGGTGTATTTTAAGACAAACATTAGAAAAATATTTTTTTTTTATTTTTTTTAAAGGCACTATGAATACAGTGTAATCCTAATCGCAACCGTTTATATATTTTCATTCCTAATCTTATATGGTTTGCAAATAATATCCAAACAAAAACATATTGCTCATTTACCACATATACAGTCATTCATTTAATTTTGTCAGTTTTTAAAATCTCTGAGACAGATTTTTTGTTTTAAAAGTTAAAGTTTTTACGAATATTTTGTAAGTAAAAATTTTATTTAAAATTAATTAAAAAACATATTAACCTTTTCTTCCTACCATTAAAATAGTAACACTTTAAACAATTATGACATACAATGATGCAACGCTACAAAATCGATTGTGAATTCGACAACTAATTATACAACATATCATTTCATTATAAGCCCAAAAACTAGATCTATATACATTAGACCGACTCACTTTGTATAGAAAGCAAAATTGTGGTTTTGTTACCCCTCTCAAAACTTACCTTGCTTTATTTTATGATTTACCGTTCCTGGATAAAATTTTAAAAAGGTATTTTTAAATATTTTTTTTTTTTTTAATTTTAGTATTTTTTATACCCTCCATCACCATCAGTGGTGATAGAGGGTATATATAACTTTGTCATTCCGTGTGTAACACCAAGAAATATCCATCTGAGACCCAACAAAGTATATATATTCTTGGACCTTATGAAATTCTGAGTCGATTTAGAAATGTCCGACTGTCCATCCGTCTGTCTGTCTGTATAAAACATTCTCACGTTAACACGAAGCATCAAAAAAAATTGGAAATGAGCACAATCGGTTCACACCGGGAAAAGTTATTATTTGAAACAACCTCGAAAAAATAAGCATTTTTTACACATTCTGATGTAATTTTCTCGAAAACTATCAAGATAATTCCATGAAAATCACCATACATTCGTTTCTACACAAGAGCTTGACTCTTGCTGAAAATTGCCAGAATCGGTCCACAATTTCATATACCTCCCATACAAAAGTACATATTCCCGGAAAATGGGGTTTTTGTTAATAACTTCCGTCACAATGTCGAAATCTTTACAAAATTTTACAAATTAAAATCTTATGTCAATAGAATTCATTCAGAGAAAAAATTTTCTGGATCGGTCCATAATTGGACATAGCTCCCATACAAGGTCCCCTCCCGAAAATAACTTAAACGCAAATAATTCATTACTAAATTAAGATATCCATATAAAATTTGGTACAAGTATTGCTCTCTCACACAGAAATATTGCTGTGAAATTTTTTTTCTATCGGTCCATAATTGGTCATAGCTCCCATACAAGGTCCCCTCCCGAAAATCACTTAAACGCGCATAACTCATTACTAAATTAAGATATCCATATAAAATGCTCATATGTAAAGAAATATTACTGTGAAAGTTTTTTCTGATCGGTCCATAATTGGTCATTGCTCCCATACAAGGTTCCCTCCCGAAAATCACTTAAACGCACATAACTCATTACAAAATATTGATATCCATACATTTAGCAAAAATATTGCTCTTATATACATTAAACTATAAAATTGTTTTACGATCGGTGCATATTTGGTCATAGCTCTCATATTAGGTCCCCTCCAGAAAATCACTTAAATGCACAATATTCATTACCAAATAATGATATAGATACAGAATTTTGAAATTTTGTCTTTATAAACAAAATTGGTCATAGCTAATATACAAGGTCCTCTCTTATCTCTCTATTGGTACAAATTTTGGCACAAATATTAGTTTTGTATACAAAAATTATATTTCAAGATTTTTTCACGATCGGTTCATAACATGGGTGCGGTCGGTCCCATACAAGGAATTCAGAAAATCACTTAAACACACATTACTTATTACTAAATTACGATATAGATACAAAATTTGTCTGAAATATAGCTTTTATGAACAGAAATTTTGCTTAAATAATTTTTTACAATCGGTCTATAATTGGTCATATCTCCCATACTAGGTCCTGCCCCTAAAAGCGCTTTAACCGTATTTAACTAGTTGCATTATCAATTTGTGTAGAACAAAATTATATATATGTATTTTGAAAATCCTTAAATCTTTCACACACATGCATACATGCAAATTACTAACTATCGCTAAGCGCTATAAAAATATAAAGAAAATGGCGTTTGTAATGTTCAATAAATCATGGAATTGTAATAGATTTAAGCTTGTTAAATCTTGGGATTTTTTCTGAGAAAACTTATTTCTACAAATATTTAATCAATTAGAAAAGTATTAATATAAAAGTAGCTGGTGGAGGGTATTTAAGATTCGGCTCAGCCGAATATAGCACTCTAACTTGTTTTTAAATAATATATTCAATATGTGGTACCATTTTAAAGCTTCATCCAATGGACTATTAATCATAAATAATCGTCTCCTCATAATTGTTATATTCTAAAAAATATAAAATTTGTATGCGCAATTTTGCAAGTTTTGCACACCGTTAGACGCAGCTTCAAAAACATATTTTGTTTAAGAAAAAAAATTTAAAATAAGGGTCTGAACATATCATAACAAAATAAAGATATTTGAAGATGAGTAAAAATTTGAATTGAACATGTAAAATCGTGTCCCCCATAGGATATTTTAATGAAAACTGTCCACGGTAAACTAAACCCAAAATATTTTTGGTAACATCATCTGACATAGCAGCGAATATTTTGAGAAAGGCAACTCAAGTACAATTTTTTGAGAATCGGTCTAATATACATACATAATTTTAATTTAATTTCACCTTCATTAACGGTTTTTCTATATAAATAAATCTATTAATTGTAGTCGGCAGCACATGGAGTTGGTGTATCTGAAGATTTGGAACAATTTTCCCTCTGTATACCGAAATCTCCGTTCGATACGGAGGAGCCACTCGAATTTGGCTATCTGCAATTAGTTCAATTACAATATAAAATAAATTGGCCTTTACATTTACTTTTCTCGCCTAAGGTATTGGAACGCTACAATATACTTTTTCGATTTCTGCTTCTAATAAAGAAAATGCAATATGAATTGCATATGCTGTGGTGCCAACAAACAAGAGAGACCAAACTAAATAAGAATCAAAATATTAAAATAATGCATTTACGCAATGAGTTAATGTTTTTTGTCGATAACTTGCAGTATTATATACAAGTGGATGTACTTGAAAGTGAGTATATAAAATATTTATTTATCTACATATGAATGTAAGTATGTACATTAAATAGACATTTATACTATTGATTTACATTAAATTGTTCTTCAACGCCATTCTACACAGGGCAATTTCACTTATGCAAGTTTATGATTGTGGAATAGAGAATAAAAAATAATGAGCATTCTTTTCTTCACTCTCTCTCTCCCACAAATTCAAAAACTTGATCAAGAAAAGATGTTTTATGTATATATATCAGCACACTGTAGTTTAGAAACTTTTGTTTTTGGAAATAATTTGGTATCCCTGAAACTATTGAATACATCGCAATGAAATTTCACATATTTGGAGCTGAGGTGTTTTCGAGTCGATTGACATCGTTATAGGTGATCGAGGACTGAATGAAATTTAAAAAAAAAAAAATCACTTAAAATCCATTTATGATCGCAATAAGTTTAAATTTAAAATATAACTACTCCTTGAGAAGGTATACAAAAAATACGTTTACATGTGTGTGTTACCTCTTTAGCTTTAAGAGACATTTAGGTTTAAATTTGTTTATTCTTAAATTTTCCGATCTATTTTTAGTTTTTTTAATGTGGCGGTCCTACGGAGGGCCGCAAAATTTTTTAAAAATATCCCCTAGTTTTCTGATAAAATTCTAAATAAAGCAAAAACAATTTCTCAGCTGTTAGACTATGACGGCTGTATTTATAAAAACTTATTTTAGGTTTTTTTTTTTTTTATTATTTATGAATTCAAATTTACAATTATATATTGAAATGTGGTCTCAGCGCCTCTAGGGCTTTATTGAGACAACGTTGGCAAGAAACAATTATAATTATTTTTACAACTTAACTTTTTACAAAATTACAACAATAATAAAATTAAAAAAAAATAAATAGCATTTCAATATTATATAAATAAATTTATATCAAAAGCATTTCAAGATTATTTAGATAAAAATCTTTAACTTTTTTCTTAAACAACGATATGGACGAACAATTTTTGACCGACTGAGGTAAATCATTATATGCCACACTACCGATATATTAAATTCTTTGTTTAGTGATTTCTAGGCGACACCTAGGAACCTTCAGATTCGTATTATGTCTTGTGTCAAACAAAGTTTGGTTACCAGAAAAATTGATTGTGTGGTGTCCAATTCTGTTTATAGTTTTATTAACATAGAGCAAAACTTGCAGTTTATAAATACCATAAATTGGTAAAGCAATAATGTCGGATATAGTTGAGGGAGATTAAACACAGCCTTTAATGATTTATTTTGAATTACCTGTAAGCTTTTTAAATCAACATTTCTCTTGAATCCATACACAAGTGTAAGGTAATTAAGATGACTTTGAATAAGTGATTGAAAAATTATATATTTGGTGTTCTCATCAAGTTTATATCTTAGTTTATACAGGATGCCAAGTGCTGGAGATATTTTCGATCGTACATATTTAATATGATTTTTCCATGATAAGTTATTTTGCAAAATAATTCCTAAATATTTTATTGTGCCTACTTCAACAATCTGTTTCCCATCAATAAATAATGCGCTTTCCTCTAAATTTCTATTAGGTTGAGGTCTAAAACGTACGATTTTTGTTTTATTGTTATTCAGTACCAATTTATTTATTCTTGCAAATTCTAAAATAAGTGCTGCATCCCTTTATGCAAATGTTTTAAAAACTAAATTTTCCTTGTATGGGTAAATTAGACATAAATCGTCTGCATACATTACAATTTTCCCTTTTAGATCCAAGTTATTGATATCATTAACATAAATGTTAAATAATAAAGGACCTAACACACTTCCCTGAGGAACCCCGTACTCAACGTTACCCAAAGAACTTTTGAATTTATTTATTTGCACATACTGCTTACGATTTGTCAAGTAACTTTTGAAAAACTCCAATTCTCTGTTCTTTACACCATAAAATTTAAGTTTTTCAGCCATTTTTGAGTGATTTACAAGGTCAAAGGCCTTAGAAAAATCATAAAAAACCACACCTACTGTACTGAAACCCCTATCCAAACCATCACATATATGATTGACAACTTCTACCACTGCATTATCAGTACCACAACCCTTTCGAAACCCGTACTGATTTGGATATATTAAGTTTTCTTTCTCTAAAAATACCGATAATTGATGGTGCAAAATCTTTTCAAATACCTTATCTATAACTTATAAAATAGCGATAGGTCGGAATTTGTAAAGTGTATTACCAAGAACTTCCTTTGGGATTGGAATGATCTTGTGAATTTTCAGATAATCAGGCCATACTGAGTGGCGAACAGATGAATTGAAAATTCTTGCTAATATTGGTGACACAAGTTCCCTACATTCGTATAAACATCTTGACGTTATGCCATCAGATCCTGGGCTTTTATTCATATCTAAATGATAAATTAATTGATAATTTTCATTTTCATTAATGTGATCGAAAACAAATTGATTACGATTATATTTTAATGAACGAAGAGCATTACAGTTATCTCTAGAGTTGTACTCAATTCCGTTATTTAAATCCTTAACAGATTTTAAGAAAAAATTATTTAATGATTCAGCTTTGTCATTATCATTCTGGATTAATACATTATTATCATTTTTAACAGTAATATCAGATCTCGAATTTCTTCCTAAAGTCTCATTTATAAATTGCCAACACTTTCGTGGATTATTCCGAACATTATCTAAATTATTATAATAATAATTAATCATACACCTCTTAATAGCCGTTTTTATTATTTTACTAATTCTCCTAATAGAAATATTAATATCATCTTCTTTCCTCTTTTTTCTTTTTTTTAATAATTTATTTTTGTAACTTATGAGAGCTAGTATATTACCATTAATCCATGGTGTTAATTCAAGTTTTAAATCTTTCCTGGTTCTAGATAGTATTGTTGCAGTAGCAAAAGCATTTGTCATTGACTCTATTAAGTAAGAAGTGTCAACATTGGGATCATCAGTCAAGTTAGAAACAGACAGAGTACGACATAATTTTTCCCTAACTTGGTTATAATCACAATAATAACGACTAACATCTACTAAATCGGTCATGTTCGATTTACAATCAATTTTAATATTCATAAGATTATGATCTGATAACTGCCACTCTATAGAATCAACTTTAATTTCAAAATCAAAATTACAAAATACATTATCTATTGAGGTCCCACTGCTAGGTCTAGTAATGAGAGTATGACAGTTCCTAACATCGTAACATTGAAAAAGGTCATTTAAATCATGTGCCTGAGGATTAGTAATGAAATCAACATTTGAATCACCTACAATTATACAAGGACTCTGAGATACAGTCATAAGGCAGTTTTCTATATATTCAAAGAATTTATCAAAATTACACTTTTGTGATCTGTAAAAAGATAATAGCTTCATAGATTTTCTAGTTACATTATGACTTTCTAAGGTGAGCACGATAGAGTCAATAAAGTATTTACTCTCACAGATTTCAACTGAAAATAATATAAAATCTCGAACATATATTGATGGACCACCGTAAGAATCAGATCTACAACAGTGAACTGTGTTATAACCCGGAATTCCGTAAAGTTGTATCAATTTACTATCAAACCATGTTTCTTGAATACAAATAATATCTGGTAGTTTTAGTAATGAAGATATTTTAGATTTAAATTTGTTAAATTTATCTATGGATGAAATGCTTCTGACATTTACAGATATAATAGAAAAATAAGATTTAGTTAGATTTTTTAAAAAAGTATTATAAGATAAAATTGAAGAAAAATATTTATTTACATTCATTACTTTGTGTTCTGTATTAAAATATACTTATTAAAAAGATATAAAAAGTTTTATTAAGCAGGTGACAAAAAATTAACATCATTATCACTATTATCATCATCTACAAAGGCATTCTCACGACGATGAGATCTTCGAGTATTATTTGTGGTTGCTTCTAATAATATATTATCAACTTCTTCAAACGATTTGATAAGCTTAGGTTTTGAAAATTCACTTCGTTTAGCGTATATACGACCAGCTAAACTATAAACACGGCGATATCCAATTTTTTTTAGACTCTTAGCATGGTTAAGCAAAAAGAGAGTTTCTTTACTTTAAAAGTCGTTGATAAATATTGACATGTCTTCTTTTTCCTTTAGTTTGGGTTTTACTGACATAACCATCTGTTTGGCTTTTTTGTTGTTGAATTTTACAATCATAGTTTGCTTCTGCTTATTAGTTTTTCTAGTTTCTGGGTTTTTATTTTTCAAGAAAAATGCCTCATCTATGTTTGTAGCTTCTATTTTCACATCAAAACCTTCTAAAAACTTCATTAATGTTTCAACAGCATCTGTATCTTCCTCACATTCCAAACCATTAATGATACAATCATTTTTGACCCTTTGGTCATTTAGGATTTTTACAGATGTTTTTAAATCAGCTATTTCTTTTTTTAGGTTTTTGTTTTCCTTTTGCACAGCTTCTATTTTCTTTTTGTTTTCATTTATGCCTTTAAGTATATTGTCGAATTTTGTTGACATAAATTGCATTGTTGCTTGTAACTCATCCAGCTGATTTAATTTTGAAAGTTGTGTTTTGATTGCATTTAGTTCTTGTTTTAGGTCTCCACCGCTTTCGTTACAATGGTGACAAATATACTCATCGCTCTCATTTTGCAACAGCTGATCAAATTGACGTTTGTCGAGAGTTGTACAAATATCATAATAAGTATTATCACATTGAATTCTCCCATCTTCTTCTTCAATTAGTAATATTTTTTTATTAATATTAGTACTTTTACGTCTTTCTCCAGGCATACTTGATATTATTCTAGTAACTTACAGTTGCTTTTTTATACAGTATAAACCAGGTCAAAAACAAAAGACTTTTAATTTTTTTTTTTAGTTTTTTTTTTTTTTTTTAAATACCACGAGCACAAGAAATAATGACTTTTGGATGTTAGGGTTGCCAACGTTTATTAAACAATTTTAAGCAAAATTCAGGAAAATCATATTCATAA